GCTTGGGCTAGATGCGGGTTTCCCTACTTCTAGTGTCAGGCTACCAGCGGAGGACAAATTCTACTCTCTCCTGGGCTAGATTATAGGTTTCCATAGGGCTGGAAACTGGCTTCTTATTCTTATTCTTATTCTAGCAATGACCCAACTCCAGCTACCACCTTGGCTCTGTGGACAGGTGAGCTGTGGTCACACCCGCAACGGTGTGCTTCCTTAAGAGCTGGGGATGCGTTCCTTCTCCAGCTGCTCGCGTGCACGTCTGTGCCCAGTGGACGCGCCCCCCGGGAGAGCGCTGGGGGCTGCCCCGCCACTCCCTCCCTCTTGGGTAAACCCCGGGCATCCATCACTCTGTTAATTGCGCTAATTAGAGATCGCGGAGGTGTTAATTGGAAAACCCTGGTATTGTGCCTGTTTGGGGAAGAAAACGTCAATAAAAATTAATTGATGAGTTGGCGGCGCCGGTTCGCGGCAAGGCGCAGGGTGTCGTGGCAAATGTTACGGCTCAGATTAAATGATTGTTAATTAAAAAGCTACGGTAATTAATATTCCCTATGCCATATGGACCCGCGAAAAGGCACAAAAGGTTTCTCCACGTGTGGGGCTCCCCAGTCTTTCTTCCTCTCCCCCTCCAAGCACCCCAGGCCTTGGGTGCCCGCTTTAGTCTCAGGTAGGTGGATCTCGTCACTTCCGGCCAGGGAGGGGACGGGGTGGACCTGGAGAGTTCGAAGGCCTGCCTTGGTCCTTAGAAGAGCCCCAGCATCAGGGGAAGTGGGAGCCCCCGACAGCCACAGAGCCCCCCCAGAGCGGAAGAGGCGGCTGCGGCTTTGACCCAGCTTCCTTCCTTCCCACAGCGTCTGCTGACGCCCGGACCCATATAATCTCAAGCATGCCCCGGCTCCCCCAAAGAGAACCCTGAGAGAGGAGAGACTAGGACCTGCCCATGTGTCGTATCAGAATCCTAGATGGAAGTCCTAGACCACCCCCAAACTACTTGGCCTCCATTGCCCCCATCATATGGTGGGAGAGGGGTCTGGGAAGTGTTGGGTGAGGATGAGAGCCCCAGTTTTAGTCAATCCTAAAAAGATCTCTGATCCCCCTTCTTGTATGGAGGGAGAAAGCAGCCCAGTGACTGGGCAAGAGGCCGTGACTCTAATAAGGTCCCACAGTTGGGCCTTGAAAACAGGTGGTCCAATTCTCAGAGCTTCTGCCCTTTCCTGCAGGTGTTCAGCTGCTCCTGGCTGGGAAAGGGGTGATGAGGAGGAGTGTTGTGGGAGGGTAGGGGTGTATGGAGGCTGGAGGTGGGACTGTAGGGAGGAGGTGCTCTTGGAATGTGCATCTCCAGTCCCAGAGCTGGCAGCTCAGGTCTACACTGGGTGGGGTCCTTTGGCAAAGGGATTCCAGCAGTGAGTCCTCAGTGGCTCCCAGCAGCCACTGAAATACTGTGGCTTCATGTCCACATGCTGGACCAGGAGGTTTTGCTACTGGAGTTTCCAAGTCAGAAGAAAACTTCTCTACATGGAGGGGTGTATTGAAGGTGAGACCCCAAGAAAAGGCAAAAGACTCACAGCTGACTGTGGCTGAGCCAGGTTCTTGACACAAGGCCCCTGCTAGAGTCCAGGCTCTTATGGGCACTGACTGTCTTCCCCACTCCCTTGTAGTTACAGGGCATTGATACCAAGGGCTGCCCCCAGCACCCATCCCTAACTGCCTGGGCCCCAGGCACCCAGCATCTGCTCACCCACAGTGCAGGAAACACCCTGGTCCTATTGCAACACCCTGTGGAGAGGCAGAGGGATGAAGGAAGCTGCTGGTGTGCTCAGCCTTGGAGGGCAAGTGTCCCAGGGAACAGGTGAGGATTCTCAGGCGGCCTGGGAGTGCCTGCCATGCAGGTTTGGGGGGCGGGTGTTAGTGGGTGGGTGGGAGCAAGGAAGGAGGTATAGGGCTGTGTGTCAGCAGGGCGAAGGCCCCTGGAGGGGGCAGAGCTTGCCACATGGGAATTAATGCCATTCATACACCCTGCGGAAATGACTTTTCAAATGCATATAATCTCAAGCATGCAAATGAGAGGCTTGCTTCACCCTGTTTAATATGAATGATCGGCCCTTGAATAGCTATTATTACACGCCACATTGCAGCAATTATGTTGTTCAGTGGGTGTCGCTCTATATCCCCCCCATGAAAAGACAGGAAAGAAAGGGATACTTCTTTTTTTTTCTTCCTTTTTTCTAAACTTGCTGTCTGATCTACAACTTTATGGTGCTCTTAAATGTTAGAAGGGGACACTCTCCCTTACCCCGGGGAAGTAACTGCCAGATTCTCTTTGCTTTATCCTGTGTGCACACACATCCCTGAGGCTCTGGTCTTTGTCCCCTGGGGCCCAGGAGTTCTCAGATCTCAGAGCAGCCAGACTTGGATTCAGGGCAGGCAGCTGCTCTCCACCCCCAGCAAGGCCAGGGCTGGGGGAGTGGGAGATGGAGAGCAGAGTAGGCCCCTGCTGTCTTCCCTTCCCCCTCTTTGAGCTGAGGCCTGGCTTGAGTGTGGGGGAAGTTGCTTCTGTAGGCTACTAGGGTGGGTGGTTTCAGGGGAGGGGACTGGCGCCCTGTGCTGTGGTGGGTGGAGGATGGCGTCCACCCCATCCATCATTTGGCAGCCACTAGGCCTCAGGCTGACACGGCCATTAAGGCTTGAGACCTAGTGCTTAATCTCTTCCAAACCATCACCCCCATTCTTGCCTTCACCCCTGGCCCAGACCCTCTCAGAACCCAGGGGTGGGAGTGGAAGCTAGGGGTTGGGAAGTAAGTCCTTGGGAACATACAGAAAAATTCAAACATGGGCACTCTAGTAGCATGGGGGTGGACAAGAGAGGCCACACAGACCATTGGGAAAGGGACACAGGGAACAGTGGTATGCCTCCCCATGGACCCTTGATCCGCTTTCAGTTCTCTTGTCCTCTCCCAGTCCACACTTCTCCCCTCTCTGCTCCTAGCAGGATAAAAAGAGTAAGTGGTCCATTGGAGTGAGAGAAGGTTCTTCCCTGGAAGAAAGGCAAGAATTTGGGGGTAAGAAGGGAAGCTCTTGAAATCAGCCACCTTGGCGGAGGAACTAGGAAAGTATTCTCTCCTCTTCCTACAGTTTCTTACCAGTTACCTGCGAGACCCTCACCCTCCCGTTGGGTCCAGGAGACCACGTGGTTATGGGCATTGGCCTGGGCCAACAGGGGTCAAGAGAAGGAAGAACATTGGCTGGCTTCCATGGACTTTGTTGGATGCTCATGTGGCTTTTACCCCTTAACTCTGTGATTTGGGCCAAGTCATTGACCTCTCTGAACCTGGGTCTTTGCTTTTTACAGTTAGGGTAGGTGGAGAAGGGGTTGGTCCATAAAGGATGCTTCCTCTACCAGGTGCATTGGTAGAGGAAGGAAATAAAACACTGGTTTATTTACTCCCCAAAGAACTGTAGGAGGCCGGGATTAAATACTTTAACAGACAAGGAAACTGAGATTTAGGGAGTTTGAGATGCATTAATAATCTGTGGTGGATGCCATCCATGTTCTGTTTGACTGAAATCCATGTTCCTCTCAAGGTGCTATGGCTTTAGGGGGAGTATTGGGAATTAGAGGACAGTTTTGCACACTAATGTTCCCCATCTTCATTGCAGTCTGTGTATGAGCCCATGGGACGTTGGAACCTCCATGACTCCTGGAAGGGAGCTCAGGCCTCTTCCTTCTCACTACCTTTGATTATCCCAGTCCTGTCTTCTTTTTCTGGGGTAGGAGGAGTTTCAGCTACTTCTTAAAAGCCTTGTCTGATCAGGGAATCAGATTCTTTGTTTTGTGTGAGGCACTTAACTCTCTGAACCCTGAGTTTCTTATTTATTTATTTGGGACAAGGGATCAAACCCATAGCCTCATGCACTTTAAGCATGTAATCTACCACAGAGCTACCCCCCCCCCCCTTTCTTGGGGGGGTTTATTGTGGAACCCAGAGCCTCAAACAAGCTAAGTGTTCTTACCCCGAGTTACAGACCTAGCATCATATTTTCCATCTGTAAATTAGTGTGATAATAACTATCTCCTGCAGTTTTCTGTTTGTTTGTTTTGGAGGTGCTGGGGATCTAATATAGAGCCTCCTGCGTGCTAGGCAAGTGCTCAACCGCTGAACTGCCCCGCCCCCCCCCCCCCCCCCCAGCCCTCTCCTGCAGTTCTCTCAAGGAGGAATCATGGGCTGTAGTTAGTTTTGAGTGTCTACTTGGGGCTCTGTGCTGGGCTGAGGGACTTAGAATAGGAGATGGAATGAGAACCCAGGGCTTCTTTCACTGCAGACTCCTGCATTTGTTGAGTGCCTGCCTCCTTGGAGGGGCTGGGTGGATGGAAGCCATCTTTACTGTAAAACAAAAAATATTGATTAGGACCTCAGTGTGCTGGGGAGGCAGGTCCTGCCCTGAGGGAACTTCCTCTCTAGAGGGGAACTAACACCAAGTCCTCTACAGGTGTGGGGGCGGGGATACCAATGGGGTCCCAGCGAATGAATAGCTCGCCTGCCTTTTGTTGTGGGAACACCCTTTCCAGCTAGACCCCCAACTCTTGCCCCACCCTTTCCTGACCTGAAGGGAGAGGCCAGAGCTGGTTTAAGGCCCCGAGGGGCGTGGCAAGGCGTTGTCTCCCCTCCCCTCCCTGCGGGAGGTGCCTGGGAAGTGTGGGAATGTGAGGAAGGGGAGCAAATGGAGGCCTCAGCTTGTCTGGATCTGTCCCTTACCTAGGCCTAAGGGAGGGGTAGCACCAGAAGGGCCACACCTGCAGGAGAGGGTCCCAGGGGTGGCCTTTGGGGAAGTTGAGGATGGAAGTTCAGAACCTGAGGGCACCCAGGCCCAGGGTGAGGGGAAATGGGGGGTTCTGTGACGATGGCGATTGTATTTGGGGCATTTTGGTGGCCGCCCTGGGTAGGACCCGCCCTGCCCGTCTAGCCTGGAGCCTCAGCCCCTCCCCCGTGTCTCTCCTCCTTCAGGTCCTGCTAGAGCGACATGATGGTGGAATCCGCCTCAGAGACAATCAGGTCGGCTCCGTCTGGTCAGAACGGCGTGGGCAGCCTCTCTGGGCAGGCCGATGGCGGCGGGGCCGGGGCCGCAGGCACCGCTGCAGGCGGAGCGGGTAGGGACGCCGCTGCCGGCGCTGACAGCAATGGCGAGATGAGCCCTGCGGAGCTTCTGCACTTCCAGCAGCAACAGGTAGGAGCCCGCGCCCCTCCCCGAGGTCTCTCCCACTCCCTGAGGGCCACTGGGCTGCTGCGCCCACCAGTCAACCTCATTTTAACATTCTTGAGAAGGTACACCTCCAGGGACTCCTGCGCCTCTCCTTCTGGTGGCCACTGTAAGCCTTGGGGAGCCAGCCATCCCCAGGGAAAGAGAGAAGTGGTATTGGAGCCTGAGTCTAAAGAGCTTGGAACAGTCCCAGGAATGACATAAGGACAGACAGACGCTGGGCAGTAGGCTTCGGAGTCTGTTTTGAGTGGGTGGTTGCCTCACTCTCTGCTTGCGCCTGCGCATTCCTGGCAAACTGGCTAAATTAGCAGGGTTGTGTGTGTGTATCTGGGCGGGGGGGTGCTGTGCACACAGGGGTATCTTCACTTTATTTGTATTATAAAACATTCGCGCCTCCAAGTCTGCCTGGATCTCTGATCCAAGCTGTGAAGAGATTAAACTTTGAGGCACCAGGGGCCAAAGCCACCAAGAAGAGGCCAAGAGAGGGAGGCAAAGGCAGGCCTCTATTTTTAGGGCTCAGACTGGCAACCCTCTGTGTGCCCCTTTCCTCTTCTGTGACCATTTTCCTACCTTTAAGTGCAGGGTTCAGGAGTTCAAGGCTAGCCTGCCTGAGGATCAAGAGGCACTAGGGTGGGGAACCTGGTTGGGTGATGACAGAGCAGGGCCCCCCAGGTCTCAGCCCCACCTGGAGTCAAAAAGGAAAAATCATGCTTGACAAGTTCAGGAGAACCCGCCCAGCCAGCCCTGGCCTCGGGATTCTCTTCTTATTTGACTGTGCTCCTCAAATCACTGTTGGTGGCACTGGCCCTTGGGGGCTCTTCTGGGAACATGGAAAATCAGGGTCTTTGGATGCCTGTCCCTGCCCAACATCCCAGCTCTGCCTCTGCTGTGTACCTGCTGTGCCTTCACAACCGGCTCCAGGGCTCTCCCTGTCTCCTAATAACCCCTAAGGAGCCCTTTCCCACCATACTTTTCAGAGCCAGAGGTTAGACTAGAAGCAGCACCAACCCAGGCCCCACAACTGCTCTAAGCTGGTCAGTAAGTTCTAAAGCAGGAATGGAAAAAGCCTGGGTTAGGTGCCAGCCCACTCCTTACCAAAGGCACCACAAATCATGGGCCTCCCTGAGCCCTGGCCTATTGGGCATCCAGTGTGCTGGTTTAGGATCAGATGCTATTGGGGTGTGAAACCTCTCTCACACTACTCATGGATGTGAACAAATCGAGGACTTTAAAAAATGACGTCCTCTTGCCAACAGAGACTGGAGTGGGAAGGGCCTTTTGTCCCTGGGGAGATGGTCCTTGGGTGTCTGCCGGCATCTCCCAAGCCTCCCTATGCAGGTTCTCTGGGGAAGAGACCCTCAGGGTCACAGTGCCTTCTGCTGGATACAGAAAGTCAAAGGGAAAAACCAGACCCTTTATCAAAATAATAAGGAAACACACCCCACCAGAAGTCCTCGAGGCCACCCATTTTGTATGACTAGCCCTTCCCCTCCTGCACCTCCATTAGAACAAAGCTATAAAAAAGTTGGGGGAGATAACAAAACTTTCTTTTTTTAAAAAAAAAAAAAGACACTTGGAATGAAGCATGAGCCCAGGTCTCTCAACTGGAGAGATGTTTGGGGTGGGGAGAGGCGGGACCGTCTGTACTGATCAGGTTTCTGGGTTCTGCATTGCCATGTTTTACCATCTATATTCCACATTCCAGTTATTCCTGTTTGTTTTGGGGAATATCCCAATGTCCTGGAAAATCCTATATCGGTTTCACAAATAAACTCGGGTGGGGATTTGGAGGCAGGAGGACTGTTTTATCCATTTGGGCTCACTATGGGCGGAGTGCCCAGGGCTAAGGAAAATATTTGAGACTTAAAAAAGGTTTTGTTGGCTCCAAACTCTAAAAAGAACCCTGCAAAATTAAAATTACAAGGTTTACAATTAAAAATGAAATAGTCTGTGGGCCATTCTTCCACCCCCCCACCACCATAGATGAATGCTACTTTGGGGGGAGCTTCAAGGGTCACCCCTTCCTGGTGCTCCAGTAACACTGATCTGTGGAGCTAAAGATGGCCCCTGGGTTCCTCCTCCCTCTTGGAGGCCAACTGTCGTGCACACTGTGTCATTAAATCCCACTTCAGATGAGGCAGCCTGAGGTAGACACTGACTTGTCCAGGTGACAAAGGCAGCAGCTACACCTTGTATCCCAGGCCTGTGCAGGAGGTGGAGAGAGGAGGTTCTGGGGCTAAAACAGATGTGTGTTGGTGAGGAAGGTAAGAGGGTGTCATTCCCGACATAAATGTTCCCAGCCGGGCACCCTAAATGGCTATTCTGGTATCCACACGAACTCCAGAGGCAGAGTGTTGAGCGAGTGGGTCGGAGGATCATGTGCTGGCCCTGTCCTCCTTTTTGTGCCCCTCTTGGGTCTCCAAGGCCCTCTCCCTTTGTCTGTGTGTTGTTCCCTGTCCCTCTGCTCTGGGTAAACACACCAGAAATGCAATCCTGGCCTTTGGGAGTAATGAGTTTCTCTCTCTCTCTCTCTCTTTCTCTCTCTCTCTCTCTCACACACACACACACACACACACACACACACATAGAGTCAGAAGTCAGGCTGGTGACAAGACTTTAGGCTGAAACAAACAGCACTAAAGAGGGCAGCCACGTCACTTCAGAACAAGAGCAGGCGCTTGGTTTCCATGCAACCAGCAGGCTGGGAGCTTATTTAAACAGAGGCTGGGGGTGACCCGGCACGCCTGCCAGGCCAGGTCTGGCTACACAGAGGGTCCCTGGCCAGCTGCCCCATTTCACCATTCCCGGCCCCCTTATTGGTGAGTGACAGAACCAAACCAGCTTCACTCTATCCCGGGGGCTTTCACCAAGTGTGTAGACTCAATCCCGCATGGACCTACTACCCCGAGAAGGTGGTGCTGGGGGACTGCAGGCCTTGGAGCTGGAAGTCATTCAGCAAGCAGTGCCTTGAAGAGTTGCTGATCCCCAGCTGCTACTGCAGAGTACCCCAGACTAGAGGGACATAAGGGATACATAAGCCCCCTCTTTCATCAAGGCAAATATCCTGTTGCCCCCTCTTCTGCATCTGTACCCCATATGATATTTTTTCTTTAAAAGTTGCCCTTATGATTTATATTCATCTGATATCACCTATATGAAAATGTTCCCAGTGTGTGGGGGCCAGCCCAGGGAACCCCACAGATACCCTTTGGGCTCTCTGATGGGGGACAGTGAGAGCTGGAAGAGGTGTGCACCAGATTTTGGGAAGGAGAGGACCTGGGGAGGTCTTGGAGACTGGTTAGGGCACATTGGCCCAGGAGGGCTGGACTTGGGGCCCGGACGGCTGAGCCGGCAGGCCTGGTGGGGCCGGCAGAGCTGCTGGCGGCTGGCTGAAAGGCTGCCTGGGCCTCCGGAGCGCATTCCCATTGTCCATGGGTTGCAGGGGTGACAGGTCAGGGAGGGTCATGGGAGGGTTGCCTAGCGTCTGGGAACTCCCACTGCAGTTGCCGTGGCAACTAGGCCAAATCCCACCCTGTTCACATCCTGTGAGGAGATTCAAAAGGGTTGGGGGGCTCTACACATTAATGGGCTTTTAACGTACCCCCCTCTAAAGAAATGGGGGGGGGCGGGGAGTAGGGGGAGGGGAGAAGAAGAATGGAAGAGACTTTCCTCCTCCATCTGGTCTCCTCTGCTCAAGCTACTTTAGGGGGATCCGATGGGAAGGGAGGTTCCAGAGGGAAGTCAGCCCCTCCCCACAATGCATGTGCTGTCAACAGTTGTCTGTAGTCTGTCTGGTCCAGCATTGGGACTTTCAAGACTCCCAGCCTCATGCTTCAGATTCTGCCTTTGGCCCTGCACCTTCTGGCTTCTTGTCCTTCTGCAGACAGAGCCCCTTGCTGTGCTGGGTTATGGAGGGAGGTTTGGGGTCTGAGCTCCTCAGAGGAGGCACTTAGAGACTTGGCGCCTGTTCACATTCATGCTGGCTGCTGGGAAGTGCACAGAAACCTCACCTCGGCCGGCCTGGAAGCCTTGTGAGCAGGGCAGGTGAGAGGTGCGGGGACTGAGGGAGGGTGTGTCAGAGATGCTGCTTGTACTCTTCCTGGACTACTCTACCAAAGGCCACCCTAACGTTTGCCCCAGGAGGGCATTGTGTACCACACGTGCAGAGGAAAGAGCCCTGGTCTAGGAGAGGGGTCTCCTGGCCCCTGCTTTCTTGGGACTACAAGAAGCCAGCCCAGTCTCCCAGCTGGAGAGCCTCCTACCTCCCTCCTCCTTGAGTTGCTGAGGCCTCTGCCTGCCTCTCTCTCCTTCCCCCTCCCTACTTCACCTCCCTGAGGATGGAACCCAGGGAGCTTTACCACTGAGCTGCTTCCCTGCCCCCCTTGTTTGCAGTGTTGGGGATTGAACCCGGGCCTTGCACATGCTAAGCAAGAGCTCTACCTTTGAGCCCCATCCCTTTTTATTTTTTTATTGAGACAGGGTTTCACTAAGTTGCCCAGGCTAGCCTGAACTTGTGATCCTCCTGCCTCAGCCTCCCAAGTAGCTGGGATTATAGACATGTGCCACCGTGCCCAGCTCCTCACCCCATTTTGTTGCAGAATTCTTGTTCCTCCTGATAAGAATTTTGGGGATGAAGAAGAATGTGGGGAAGGTGGGTGAATGTTTCTGCTGAGGGTGTAGGGTTTATGAGGATTAAAGTGGGGAGGGCTGTACCCAAGGCCACCCCATCAGGTCAGGACTCAGCCTGGAGCCCTCAGTAGGTGAGCTGGGTTTTCTCCTGGAGGAGGAGTACATGCTTTTACTCTAATGCCACCTTAGAGTCCCCGGCAGTGTCCAGGGTACTCACTTAGCAGGCCTTGCCATAGACCTGCTTCTGTTTCAGCGGTGTCCACAGATAGAGCAAGCTGTGTATCTGGAGACATCTCCAAGCGTCTCCAAGGAGGAGGAAAGCCCCTGCCCGCTACTAC